CATCTACGAGAGCGAGTGGCCGTTCTATTCCATTATTGAATAGGATTACATATTAAGTATTTATATAACTCTAATATGGACGTATTTACAAAAATACCCATGTACCGCACCGCGGGGGTGTTGCCCCCGCACCCCCAAATAATCAGCGTCCCTTTTATATAAATCCCGCAAGGCAGATGCCGTCGCGGGGCTCCACTCCATTCCGCTACGCTCCGCCCGCTCCAGCATCTGCCTCCTTGCCATTATGCACACAGCAAATATGAGCCACACATACTCTAACAGTGAGTCACATGAGAAATCAATAATTCTTAGGGTTGGTATGGGCTCCTATCAGTACATATTAATCAATACACAGTGTATAGTTTGAAACTTAAAACATGTTGTACAAACTTTCTAAATTTTATGTAAAGAATTAATGTGATGGAGAGACCAAGAAAGCTCATGCTAATGCAAGAGGACAATCAAGATAGACTTTATCAGATTTTCAAAGACAACTAAAAAATTTAAATAAAATATTAACAGGAATAATTAATGAATTGGATTAATATCAAACATGAACAACATGATTTTACAAAATAAATTCGTTTAGCTGGTGTAGATTGAAAACAATCATTGATTTTTCTTTTGTTTATTTCCTGTATTTATTAATCTAATATTGTATGAATCCTTGTGTAATTAGAAGTTTTTAACTTAGTTTGCAAAAATAAGGTTAATTGAATTAGAGGTCCTCAAGTATGAAATTTGTTTTGTTTTGGTCCCCAATCTTTCAATTGCATCATTTTGGTTCTTAAAGTATTGAATATATTTTTATATGGTCTCTCATGCAGACAGTGTCCAGATTGCTAATAATTTTTTTATCATAAACTTGTCATATGATACTTAAATATGAACAAAAAAATAATTTGGATTACTCTTGATTAATTTATACTCAAATTTTGGTTAAATACTTACCTAAATTACACAATTTTGATCATAGACTATCCAAATTTTGGTCAAAAACTACTTATATTACACATTTTTTTGTTAAGATTTACCCAAATTTGTTTATGAACTATTAAAATTATTTTTGTTTATATTTAGCTATTACGTGATAATTTTATAATAAAAAATCGTTAGCAATTCGGACGCTGGCTGTTTGAAGGAGTATATCAAAATATATTTAATACTTCAAAGACCAAAATAATACAATTTAAATATTGAGAAGTAAAATGAGACAAATTATGTACTTTTGAGGACATCTAATGTAATTAAGTCACAAAAAATGAGTCAAGTTGAATTCTTAGTTCATAAAGGCCCATAAGTAATTGGTTTTGTACACAAAGAAACATATTCGAATTTTGGATTTCAAGTTATTGGATTAAGTGCATATCTAAGGTTGATCTTCAAAACAGTTAGTTACCATGTTGAGAGAATATACTCAAATTTTTTAAAGTTTGTCACTTAATCATTCAAACCTCCTAAAATTTGTCACTTAATCACTCAGATCCACTAACATTTAAACTATTATATACAGACTTCTGAAGTTTGTACGCATATAATATTTAGACCACACTGTTAATGTCCGTTAGTAAATTACACTCAGATTCTTTAAAATTTGTAAACGTGTAATAGTTAGACTCCCAAATTTGAAATGTTATACTTAGAAAAAAAAATACTTCAATCAAAAATAAAATATCAAATATTTTAAATTTTACAACCAAAATTCAAGTTCTATTATGACATTTATTGAAAAAAAATCAAAAATAAAAATATATTTTTTCTTAAAAAATCATAATTAATATATAATTATATTATCTATTAGAATTTAATTTGATCGTTTAAACGACCAAATTGAACTGTCAAATTACCCCAATTAAAGTTAAAAGAGTCAATTAAAGTTTGACCACTTGTTTGATTTTTTAGTTTTATTTCAATATGTAGCATAATTGTATATTAATTATGATTTTTTAAGAAAAATTAGATTTTTATTTTTTGATTTTATTTCAATAAATGACATAATAGAATATGAATTTTGATTGTAAAATTCATATTCTATTATGAATGACTTAGACACCTTGCTTGATTTTTTAATTTTATTTCAATAGATGATATAATTATATACTAATTATGATTATTTAAGAAAAAATAGATTTTATTTTTTAATTTTATTTCAATAAATGATACAATAGAATATATTTTTAGTTGTAAAATTTAAGATATTGATATTCTATCTTTAATTGGAGTATTTTTTGTCTAAGTATAACATTTTATGCTTAAAGGGTCTAACTATTATATGCTTACAAATTTCAAAGAGTCTGAGTATAATTTAGTAACGCATATTGACCATAAGAGTCTAAATGTTATGTACGTATAAACTTCAAGAGGTATGTGAGTAATATGTCAAATATTAAGCATTTGAGTGATTAACTGACAAATTTAAAGGTCTAGGTGTAATTCTCCAAAAATATATTAAAATATTATATTCTTTATTTTAAAGATTCTCTTTTACAAATTTCTATTTTAGTTAACTATTACTAATATTTGAAGTCAAAAAATTGTACAGAGTTTGAAACTAGATCAAAATAGAAAATAGTTAACCCTTTAGCAAAAAAAAATAATTTTGCTATCAAAATGTAAAATAGCAAATGCAAAGAGTCTATTAATCCAAAGGTAAAATAACTAACCCTTGGACTAAAAATTTTTAGTTTGACTCTTTATTTTAACTAATAAATGTAAAATAGCAAATCCTTTGGGTAAGTTCTAATGGTGTCAACCTAAGCCGAAGATATTTAACAAACATCATATTCCCTTAGTTCTTAAATATATGTCGTTTTACAAAATTTTTTTTATTCCATAATATCTTTCGTTTAATGAAATCAAAACATAATTAATATTTTTTCTTCTAAATTTATCTTTAACTTTTCAATGCATTAGATTTGGTGGAGGCTAAGTACCTTTTATATTCATTTCTTTTTCAATACGTATTAAATAAGGGTATTTTAGTCTTGTGTAATTATTTTTTATGCATATTAGAATTATTTAATAACTTCCTTAATTTTTGTACAAAATCTTAAATGACAAATATTTAGGAATAGAAAAAATACAAAATAAGCATTAAATGAATTAAAATAAAATTAAATAATACTCGCCTAAGCATCGTCACCTGGACAAAGGCGTCAATGTCAATGTGTATTCTAATTCGGTCCTACATGTTGAAATTAGCTCCCAAAGTGTTTCAATCTTACACCCTGTTGTCAAAGTCGTCATCTCAAACGTCATAGACTCCTAATCTCATCCCCATATAATGTTAAGGCGCCCCCATACAAATCTCTTTCACTTCCAACCCACAAATTCATTGCATTCTTCCTTACTTTTAGTACAAGAATACTATCTTTGCTGTACATTAGATTACAGGAACACCACGCGCCGCCGCCATGGTGCGCCGCCGCATCCTTGTTGTAACATATCCGGCACAAGGCCACATCAATCCATCTCTCCAATTCGCCAAGCGACTCATTCAGACGGGCATGGAGGTCACTTTCGTCACCAGCCTCTCCGCCCGCCGCCGCATCACCAAAACCACTGGACCACCAAAGGATTTCAACTTCGCCGCCTTCTCTGACGGCTATGATGATGATGATTCCAAACGAAGTAATACTGATCCCAAAAAATACCAGTTAGAGATCAAGAACCGTGGATCACAAACTCTCAGGGAAATCATCAAAGCTAGTGCCAATGAAGGCCGTCCGATCACTTGTTTGGTCTACAGCCTCCCCCTCCCCTGGGCTGCAAAGGTGGCGCGTGAGTTTCACATCCCATATGCACTTCTTTGGATTCAATCAGCCACAGTTTTGGATATATATTACTATTACTTTAATGGCTGTTTTGATATCACTGTCGAAAATTGCAAAGACCCATTATGGTCTATTGAGCTACAAGGACTGCCGTTGGTAAAAAGCCATGACCTTCCCTCTTTTATACTTCCTACAAACTCAGAAATGTTCATCAATGCTCTCCAATTATTTAAAGAGCAGGTTGAAGCACTAGATGAAGAAACCAACCCAATAGTTCTTGTTAACTCTTTCGATGCACTAGAACCAGAGGCCTTAAAAGCCATCGATAAGTACAATTTGATTGGGATTGGGCCGCTAATTCCTTCTGCCTTCTTAGATGGAAAAGACCCATCAGACACTTCTTTTGGGGGTGACCTTTTTGAGAAATCAAACGCGTATACCGAGTGGTTGAACTCGAAGCCTAAATCATCGGTTGTTTACGTATCATTTGGAAGCATTTTGTCTCTACCAAAGAGGCAAATGGAAGAGATCGCACGAGGGTTGTTAGAGAGTTGCAGGCCATTTTTGTGGGTGGTTAGAGCGAAGGAGAACGGAGAAGAGGAGAGAGAAGAAGGTAAACTAAGTTGCATGGAGGAATTGGAGCAACAAGGGATGGTAGTGCCATGGTGTTCTCAATTGGAGGTATTATCACACCCTTCACTGGGGTGTTTTGTCACACACTGTGGGTGGAATTCTACGTTGGAGAGCTTGGTTTCTGGGGTTTCGGTGGTGGCGTTTCCTCATTGGTCCGATCAGACGACCAACGCGAAAATGATTGAAGATGTGTGGAAGACAGGGGTGAGGGTGAAGCCAAGTGGAGAAGAAACTGTTGAGGGTGATGAGCTTAAGCAATGTATAGAGATGGTTATGGGAGGTGGAGAAAGAGGAGAAGAAATGAGGAGAAATGCTCAAAGATGGAAAGATTTGGTGAGGGAAGCAGTGAAGGAAGGTGGATCTTCGAACAAAAACCTCAAGGCTTTTGTCCAAGAGATCAGAGAAGATAGTCAGTGATTGTAATCTGTACCCTATTTTGTTGTAGCTTGCAGGTGTTTTTGCGTGGCAGAGTTTAATTTGTTCGTGTCTCGTTTTTCCTTTCAAATTTATTTATTTTTTATGAGAGTGCCGATCATGTTATTTTTATATCATATCACTTTCAACCATCCCTTTCAACCATGTTATTTTTGTATCGTATAATTTTTGGTACGTATGCAATTCGTGTTAATATTTGTGTTAATAAATAATTATTTAATTCAAGAATAACTCAAATAATACTATTTAAAAAATTAAGAAAAATTATAAATTTTTTATTTCTTGTCTACGATGTGTTAAATATTTATTTTTTATCCACAATATAAATTAATCGTGTTATTCGAGTCGAACATTAATTTGACTCATTTATTACTCGTGTCAACTAATCATATTATTTTCGAGTTTTGTGTCGGGTCGGGTTCGTGTTAATGGATAAAATTGACACCCTTACTTTTTTGTAATTGTAGCCCGAGTGCAAAAAAGAAATATTATTTGAAACTTTTTAGAGAACCTTATTTAAGGATTTAATGATTTACATTTATTGAATTATTTGTTGGTTTTATCTAATATTGGAACTTATAACTAATCTAATAATTACATTAAAACTACATTATTAAGTGTCTAAGGTGCAAATAACATTGGTCAGTGCAAAATTGCAATTCCTCCATCGTAAAAGGCATTTAGCCAAGGTATTCATTTACAGTAAAGTGATGGTGTTCACTCCTCTTGTCTTCCTCCCTTTCCCATGTCGTTTGATGGCTTCTTTCACGATAGGTTGTAACAAGTGTTTCCTATTTGGAAAGCACCAGTAGTTCTGGAAAAGTAGCTGCTGTTAAAAAAGTTACAAGACTTTATGATGCAACATGTGTGACTAGATTTTTGATATTTTATTAACGTGGTCAATATTATTTTATTATGAAATTTTAGAGAATTTTATTTTATTTTTTAATGTAAGTAGAAAATTATGTTATTTTATTTTTAAATTTAATTAGGATTTTTATTTATTTGATTTTCTAATTTCATTAAAATTCTAGTTTCCTAGTTCAGTACTATTTATACTCTTGTATGCTTTAAGGTTAAGCAACTTTTGATTATTGAATACAATTGAGAGAGTTGTCTCTTTCCAATTTTTCTCGTATTTTAAGGAATTAACGAGTTATTTAAGATTTAGGACTGATATTCTTTTTGCTTCAAAAGGTCCAGAGTAGGAATCTAAACCTGTATTTTTGCACAAATCAACGGTTTATTTTTATTATCCCATTTCGTTCATTATACTATTATTTCTACCTACTTTTCTGCATCAGTTAGTATCAAAGTTTAATTACGTTGCTCTCACTATGCCGCCAAGAAGACGACCTGTGGAAGAGCTCTATGGAGTTGAGATTGTTGCGAGAGATAGAGGATGCAACAATAGTTTGATGCATTAATTCAGCAAATTGCAATCTTAACTGCCATTGTTCAACAACAAATTCAATAGCAGAAGTCACAGAAACCACAGCAACGGAACCAAAATCCACGATGGGTAGTAGAGGATAAAGGAGTCTACTGGATGTGGATAAGACCTCGTAGGAGATTCGAGATTTTGACATGAGCTCAAAAGTGTTATTTTTTTATAACAAATAATCTTATGTACGACCACAAATTGATTGAAATTTATCTCCAATATTCAATAATATTTGAAGGATGATTACTTAACACTATAACATATGATTTTGATTTCCCGATATATGATGAGTATTTTGAGGTTGACTATCTTTATACTATCGAAGATGTTTTTATTGATAATGTGAGGCATGAGATGGCAATGACGATGACGATGACTGATGATAATGCCGTTATTGATAGCACGTTCAATTGTATAGCATGCTTAGAACTAATGTGAACGAAGGGAGAGAAGATGAAGAAGAGCAGCCATTAGTCGATTTTGTGTAGTGCAATCTGTTGGCCCAACAAGGGTTTTCATCTTTCTTCAAGGTATCAGTTGACAAGTGTCAGGGATGGCATGGCTTGCTTAGAAGGGAGTGAGAGTCTAACATGTAGAGTACACACAAAGTAGGAGCTAAACATCATGTTCATAGCCATTGGTTGACAAATTTCGGTTCCAAACTATGTGCATATTCGACCTAAATATTATTACGGTTATAAATGAGGATGTGGAAAAAGATATGACTTTTACATTATATAAGAGAGTAGAATTTTGGGTTGGTTGAAAATTCAAATTCAAACAAAAATTAAGATATAAAATCCTGTTTTAATGGGCCGGTCGGAATTCTAAATTCAAGCATTGAGGCGAATTCGAGGACGAATTCTTTTCAACTTGGGGAGAATGATGCACAATAAATGACAAAAATTTTGGTATTTTATTTGAATGTGGTCAATGTCATTTAATTAGAAAAACTTGATTTTATTTTGCTTTCTAATTTAATTAGGAAATTATTTTATTTATTTTTTGATTCAACTAGGATTTTATTTTATTTGTTTTTTAATTGATGATGCACAAAACTGTCTTTGTGCAAGATCAACAGTCAAGTATGTGTAAAGGTGCAATTAATGAGTGACAAACAAACAATCAATGAGAATTAAGAGTAGAATAGTAAATAATAGATCAACACAAGGATTTATAGTGGTTCGGTCTAGGTGACCTACTCTACTGTCGGGAACGGCAGTGGTGGTCTGGTGTTCTTTATTGATGAATCATGGTCACCGGAGAGTTACAGTGCTTTTGAGAGAGAGAGAGAGAGAGATAGAGAGATGTGTGTGCAGAGAGGTTTTGGAGGCCTCAAGGTGTAGAGGTCTCAAGAAAGTCCTTAGAGGTGTTGGAGGCGTGCCCTCAATGTTGAGAGGGCTTACATTATATAGCTAGAGTAAGATAGTAGAGGCGGTGACGTGAGAGAGAAGAATTTTATTGCTTTGACAAGTATTGTTATGGTAAGAGATCTTCTATATCTATCTCCATATTATCTTCCCTCGTGCTCCTATTCATCCGGAGGAGAACATTAGTTGGACCTGGACCTGGAGTACTAAGGTGAGGAGGATCAAGAGGAGGGGCATCCAAGGGCCTGCCATGGGCTGCGCCCAAAGGCTCCCTCGCTCTCCTCCTGCTTCGGCTGTTGGCTTTGGGCTTTTGGTGCTATTCTCTTGGTGTCTTTCTCAATGGGCTAACATTGGACGCTTCTTCGGGCTTTCTCGATTTATCTAAATTGGGCTTGGCCTTGTAAAATCCGGGCTCATCACTAATTTTTTTTAGGATTCTAGTTTTCTAGTTGTTTTAGGGTTTTTACTATTATTTAAAGTCTTGTAAGCCTTAAGGAAAAAAAGCTTTTTGATGATTAAAATACAATTGAAAAAGTTTTCTATTTTCTTCACAATCTTTTTGGTATTTTTAGGAATCAATAGATTTGTTAAAGCCTTTAGAATTGGTATTCTTTGTGAACCAACATGTCTAGAGTAGAAATCTAAACCGGTATTTGTGCACAAATCAAGGTTTATTTTCATTATCATTTTTTGTTTATTAAACCCTTATTTTTACCCGCTTCCATGTATCACTCTGTTAGAGTTTATTAGTGATGATAAAACTAGCAAAGAATTATAGAAAATATTGAGAAAGTCTTTACCAAGTCCTAGTATGCAACACAATATATAGGCTCCCAAACCATGCATATCTTTAATAAATTTTAGGGCAGTCCTCTAACTTATTTTTTTGGAATTATTTGTCCCAAATTACTTAGATTTCCCAAAGTGAGGAAATGCAATTGCGAAATAGAGTATGTGCAAAGGTCAAAACGCCAGACACTTAAAAAATCGTCAAGGGCTTGTTTGTGTGATGAGTTTGGAGGGTATGAAAGAGTGAGTTTAATAAAAATAGTCCAACAAACCATCATATTCCATATTTGGTTACAGATCTAAGGTTTGTGATTGAAATACAAGCCTGTAATGAACAATTGAGGTAAAATCCATGTATATGGGCTTCAACAAAGCTAGGGGATAGGTATTAGCTAACCTAGGATATGGTTGCAAAAAGACCCTTGTATCCCTAATTAACTCTCCTATCTAATCAAATCAGATCCCAACCCCTAACCAATCCCTGAACCAATCTTCTACAATGGGCGATGAAATTTTAGGAAAAAAAAGTCACCTCTCCTTTGGCTTGGACAAAAAGGAGTGGCTAGGGATGAATTACAGATTAAATTCTTCTATCATCTCTCATGATGCACAATCGGTTTTATGCACCACCTATCAAGTGACTAATAATTAATACATCAATTAAGTAAAGAGAGAAAGTAACACAAGCAAGATAAGGATGTAGAGTGGTTCTGTCAACGTGACCTACTCTACTATGAAAGGCTAGGATGACCTGATGTTTTATTATTTGAGGAGTGAAGGTAGGCGAGGGAGAGTAATGGAGATACAAGCTATGAGAGAGAGATGAGAGTGATAGCCAATGTACTAGATGCCCCCCAAGTATTGGTAGGGCTTACAATTAATAGTGCCTCTTAACAGAGTAAGGTGCCTTTTCAATAACTAAGTTGCTAATCTGGCGGAGTTGAGCTTTCTTAACGGATGAGGCAGTTGCTGAGCTCCCCTTAAGATTAGATCAAAGGATGATGTGGCGGTTAACTCTTTCTAAGGCGGTGCAGATGATGCTCTTGGATGGCACTCCCTACTCCTTAATGATGTAGCTCCCTGAACCCAAATGAACTTGACTGGGTGAGGGACCTCTTTTGGGCTGGACCCATTGGATCTCTCCTACTTGGGCTCTTTATTCAAGCTAGGCTTATACCCTAAGTTAGCCCCTTGGGCCTGACACATCATTTGCCCCCCAATGCCCTGTGTCCAATAAAACTTGGAGAAGAGAGCATTTGGTTGAACTAGATTTTGGCTAACGGAGACTCCTTTTGTTTGTAGGACATCTCCAGTCGTACAAACTCCTCCCACTTTATTCCCTTTTAGAATTTTAAAAAGCCCTAGGCCATAAATTGGGAATTTCTTATTTCTCTCCTCATTTTATCCATCTTGAGAGAGGGCTTCTAATGAAGTGCTCAAGAAGGAGAGTAAGACTAATGGTTTTTTTCCTCAGTTAAGTGCCCAAAATTGGATGTCGAGTGAAAGAGAAAAGATGTCAGGGACCCTCAATGTTGGTGGAGAGTCAAGGAGTGGTAGAGTTATTGATGTTGATGCAAGAGAGGTGAATGTCGGAGAGGCCATGGGTGTCAGTAAAGTGAGGATCCAAGTAGGCGAAGGTGAGATGGCCCAGACAGCGTACGCCAAAAATGGGGCGACCCAGGCATCAAGAGCCAAAGGGAAGGTTACCCAAGAACTGGGCATGAAAGTCGAGGCATCACAGTTGATAGGCGTTGGTGGCAGGCGGTTCTGCTGTTCGCGGAGGGCCCTTCTCGAGGGAGGATGAGGCAAGCAAGGCGTTGAGCTCGGTGTTGTTGGGAGTGGTGTCGTCTGAAGCCGGGGTGAGCACAGAGGACTAGGCACCGCTGGGTGCTAAGTGTGATCAGGCGAGCGCGCTGAGTGCTGGGTGCGGTCCATCGGTGTTGGGCTCGGTTGGGCTGTTGTCACTAGGCAAGCCAGATGTGGTAGAGGTGGACGTCAGGGATAGATCTTTACAAATGCCAGAGAAGAGCTCGTTGGGTATTTTTGGTGGTGACGATTTTGGTAAAATGATAGACAATTTGGCTCATTCAGGTGGAATTTCACGGAGTCAAATCCCTTGAGGCTCTCCTGGTAGTGGCTCGGGTAATGCCTTACTTCGCCCTTGCAATAGCAAGCATCGAGGAAATGTAGCTCTTGATGATGACGGATCTAAGGTAAGTACCATCTCTAGTACTCTCAACACTGTTGCAGACATATTGGGGGGTTGTTTCTACTTACAATATTCTCCCAATGGTGCTGTGTTGTTGAGCTGAAATGGGTGAGTCTGCTTGTGACGACTCATCCGAAGATATTGCTGTCTATGAGGAGGTGTTTGAGGCTAGGATGAGGTTCTAAATGCCTTCCTCTATGTTTAGCATTCTTCATTGCTTTTCACTTCCGCCAGGGCGGTTGGCGCCTAATGGTTGAAGGGTTTTGCTGAGATTTCTAGCACTGTGGAGAAAAGTGCATCATGATTCATAATGATGTTTTTGCCAAAGAGTTTTGTTCGACTTATACTTTGAGCGAGACTCTTGTTTCCAACCGTGGTTGGTACAATTTCACTTCGATGGGAGGTAAGTTGATTACTGGTTTGCGTTCTAATTGCCATAGCTAAAAGACTCGCTTTATATTTGTTGGTGGAGAGTGAGCCTCAGAGACTGACAAGGCTTTGGTACCAGTAAGGTGGGATTCTACCAAGAGAATTGGTACGTCCATTCTTTACTCCTTTCCCTTTGCTCTTATACGAACTTGTTCTCACCACATTTCTTCTAGGCTCCCCGGTACTCTTAAAGGATCAAGAATGGAAGTTACAGGCTGTGAAGGCTCACTCTGTGAAGGACTTTGGAGTTCTCATGCTCAAAGAGGTGAAGCCAGAGACTATCCCACTGGTAATGCGAAAAGGTTGGTGTACCCTTTCTGAGGCCCAGTGGTTCCTCCTTGAAGAGAAAATGTATGCTGATCCCCTTGGATTCCCTTTCTTTACTTAGTCTTTCATCAGGATAATGCTTTTATCCTTCCGTAGTAAACATGACAGTAGTGGAGTCCCGTTATTCCACTAGGAGTACTCCTCCTCCTAAGGTGGCGAGGGTTAGCGATGTTTTGGCGAGCCCCTCTTAGATGACCCCTCCAGTGGCGCCTCAGTTATCGACTCCTTCAGAGGTGCCAGTCACTCCAAAGACTCTCCTACCGGCTACAACTCCTGCCCCCATTCATCGACTCTTCCTGTGGGGACTTCTACAGGAGCACCTGCTCAGATTTACTTAATGTTGGGTGATGTGCGAGTCATCAGGGAGCGACTTTGGAGGTTTGTGTTTTCAGCAGACATTAGTGACGTTAGCATTCGGGGCACTGAGGGTGTCATCGACATTGTTTTGGAAGGTCTAGCTCAAGTAAGGGTTATTTTCTCACTTGCTCCAGTCCCTCCTTAGGTACTAACATTCTTTTGTCTTTTTCAGGTTTCAACTGCCTTTGTGTGTCTCTGTTCAAGGGTTATTCACTTTAGCCAGTTGAAGTAAAGTCATGAGGCTATGCAAAAGGAGCTTCTTGTTGCTTAGGGGAGGATTGCTGAGGTTGAAGCTGATGGTAGGGCTTCTCAGGTTGAGCATGTGACAGCTCATGAGAGGGCTACGCTCAGAGAGGCTATTTGCACAAGGGCTAAAATAGAGCTTGTGGTGACCTGCTAGAGGGTTGCGCTTAAAGAGACTGCCCGCTTGAGAGGGTTTCTCCAGCTGAGGTGAAACTGCGATTAGCTCATGAGAGGGCCGCCAAGGCTGAGGCTGATTTAGAGAGTGGCCTTGCAGATGCCTTCATTGATGGCTAAGAGGAGCTTCAGAGAAAGATTTATGTTGCTTTTCCTGATATTGATCTTTTAGGCTTTGTACCGTACGAGGCGCTTGATGATGCTGATGGTGACTCTGACAGTGAAAAGCGAGAGGACGAGGAGCATGGCGGCCATGAGAGTAGTTAGAGCACTGGAGACTTTTTTTTTTTTTAGAAAGGCAATGTGTAGCCTTACTTTTGCAGAAGTTATTTTTTGACACTAACGTTCTTTTGAAATAGAATGCAAGAATGTAAAAAACTTTTGAAGTTAATTTAGAAAATTTTATTCGATAGCTGCTTATGCTAAACAATGGTGGGTAATAACCTAAAAAAGGTACAAGCAATAAAATCAAATTCCTCAACTTTACTACTTCTACTCTCTTAAGGTGTCATTGGTAGTACCTCTTTAGATGTTCAGCATTCTATGGATGAGGTAAGATCCTGTAGGTGTCTGGCCTTACTACTTTTGTTATGAGGTAGGGTCCTTCCCAGTTTTGTCCAAGCTTCCCTTCTAGTGAATCCTTCGTGGCGAGGATTACTTTCTTGAGGACTAGGTCTTTTTCTTGGAAGGAACAAGACTTCACCCTTGAATTGTAGCATCTTACCATGCGACGCTTGTACTCAGCATTTCAAACCATTGCCATCTCTCTTTCCTCCTCCACTAAGTTGAGGTTAACGCGGAGTCCTTCCTCATTAGTGATGGGGTCATGGTGTTGAACTCGTATAGAATGTATGCCGATTTCTACAAGTAAGACTGCCTCAGTTCCAAAGATGAGTGAGAAACAAGTTTCTCCAATCGGGGTCTTTGGTGTCGTTCGGTAGGCCCATTATACACCCGGGAGTTCATCCACCAGAGATCCTTTGTTTTTTCTAGTCTTGTCTTTAGGTTGCTTAGTACTATTCTAATTGTGACCTCTACTTGTCCATTTGCCTGCAAGTGTGTTGGGCTGGAATGAGGTTGTTTTATCCGGAGGTCGGCGCAGAACGAGTTTAGGAGCTTGTTGTCGAATTGCTTGACATTGTCGCTGACCATGGCGTGGGGTACTCCAAAGCAAAAAACTAGGTTCTTCCAGATGAAATCTTTGACCTTTGTACTTGTTATCTCTGTTAAGGGCTTGACCTCCATCTATTTTGTGAAGTAGTCAATGGCTATTACTATGAACTTGCACTACCCTATGCTCAGAGGTAAAGCTCCCCAGATGTCGATGCCCCATTTGAAAAAGGGCCATGGACTTGTGATGGTTGTCAGTTCTTCTGGTGGTTACCTGGGTATAATGGCAAAGCGTTGACACTTTTTGCATTTCTTGGTGAACTCCTGAGTGTCCCTAACCATGCTAGGCCGAAAATAACCCTATTTGAGTGCCTTGTGGGTGAGGGAGCATCCTCTAGAGTGGTTTCCACAGACTCCTTCGTAGATTTCTCGTAAGGCATAGGTAGCTTCCTTTGGGTAGAGGCACCGTAGTAGTGGTAGAGAGTAGCCTTTCTTTACAAGATGTCTTGTAGGAATATGAACTTGGAGGCTCTCATCCTAAGCTTCTTGGCTTCCAATGGGTCAATTAGTAATGCGTCTTCTTGAAGGTATACCTTTATTGGGGTCTTTCAGTTTGACTCAACAAATGTGTTGTTGACATAAGTGGCTTTTACATCTAGAATGCTGGTCTAGGTGGGGCATCCAAGGACGAGGCAAGCCTAACAAGCGCATTTGTAGTGGTATTTTCTTCCCTCGAGATGTGATGGATTTGAAAGTGGTGAAACTTAGCCAGCAAAGCTTGCACCATAGCAAGGTACTCTTGCATTCTGGCTCTTTTTTCTTCGAATTCGCCCTTTACTTGGTTGACTATCAACTGAGAGTCACTATAAGTGATGCGATATTGGATTTCCATTTAAGTTGCCAACCTTAAGCCAGAGAAGAGGGCTTCATATTCTGTCTCATTGTTAGAGGGCATAAAGTGGATCTTCAAGCCATACTTGATAGGAGTGCTGTCGGGGCTAGTCAGGTTTAGGCTTGATCCACCTCCTTCCCTGGTTGAAGAGCCATCAACATAGAGCTTCCAAGGAGGCAACAGGGAGGGAGTGTCGGAGGCCGTGGGCGCTTGGGAGCTAGGATGCCTTGGATGCCCAAGAATGGCGCTATTTTGTTCTGGGCACCAAGGCCAAATGCCTGGGTGGCTAAGGCATTTGCCTCGGGGTACCTGGGTCTCTGATTGGAATCTTGATGAAACTTCTTGGATATCTGGTGGAGATGCTAGAGGTTCATTGTACTTTTCTTTCGCCAGTGTGAGCTCGACAATGAAGTCTATTAAGGTTTGTGCTTTGATGGTTGCCCTTGGTTGGTATTGCACATCAAACTCGTCGAACTCTATTACCACTAAGGACTTTTCAAGAAACATTTGGCTTCCCTAGAACTCTCTTTAGAGGTTGATCCGTGACAACGATGATGGTGTGACTCTGGAAGTAATGTTAGAGATGCCTTACTGTTGAGATCAGGGTGAGTGTCATCTTCTCTAGCCTTGAATATCTTATCTCTGCTCCTTGGTATGCCCTGCTCACATAATAAACATGCTTTTGCACTTCTTCGTTGTCCCTAATGAGGACAGAGCTTACTGCCGATTGGGAAACAGAAATATACAAGTACAAAGTTTCACTTGGCGTGGCATGTGAAAGGAGCGAGGTCATAGCCAAGTAAGCTTTTAGCTTTTGAAAGGCTTTCTCTATGTCAGGTCCCCATTCGAAAGCTTTTCTGGAGAATTTTGAAGAAGGGTAAGCACTTATCTACGGATTTGGAAACAAATCTGTTGAGAGCTGCAATCTTCCTATTGAGGCACTAGAGCTCCTTGGTTATGGTGGATGATCTCATATTCAAGATAGCTTTTATCTTGTCTAGATTCTCCTCAATGCCCCTTTGGTTGACTATAAAGCCCAAGAACTTTCCTGATTTGACGCCAAAGGCACACTTCTCAGGGTTCAGCTTTATGTGGTATGACCTGAGAACATTGAATGTTTCTTGAAGGTGGTCTAC